CAACCAAAGCCATTAGCAACTGGAAAATGCTTACCCCTGAATTTCTGCAGATTTTTTGGTCTAATTTGTTTAAGACAGGATACAGAGGTAGTGCAAATGCTCTGTTGGAATATTCAGCGAGCCAGCCAAACACTTGGTTGGTAACTTAAAAAACAAAATGCCATTTTTCAGCAATACTTTCTTATCTGATGAAAACAGATAAATTGCGTGTCCACCTACAATCTCTTAAAAATTGTGGAATCCACTTTGGCATTATGAGAGCAACCATACCACCAGAAATACTGTTTAAATTGATCAACAAGTGTAATAACCAAGGTATTTGAGATTTAGGAACCGTTGTATGGCCAACCAAAAGAAAATCTGGGAAGGAGTTTCATGGGCTGTGGAAAAGATTGTATCTACCATGTGCCAATTTTCTTTTCTCCACCCTGAAGAAGGTATTAGAATTCCAGAGCATGTGATATGGATGTCCTCATAAAAGCTGGTTTCATTTCCAGGTGTTGTGACTTTATTAGGAAAGAAAGATGTTTCAGGACTAGGGAATAAACATATTGAATGACCCTGGTTTTTTGGCCAGGATAAACATAGGCATAAGTTAAACAAAATGTTAAACTCCAACTCTAGCTTGGTGTCATTGATTGAAAAAATGGAGTAACTCTGGCAGGTTGAGATAAACTCAAAAGTATATGAAGATATGGGGGCTGAAAGTCAAATAACACCAAAACAAATTAAACAAATTTTAAAATTTTGACAACCAAAAACACTAAGGTGCAGTCTCATTATTTGTGTGTGTGTTCCAATAACATCATTTTTTTAGATACTTAAATTTCATATCATTTTCAACAGCCACGGAACAACATTCTTTTGATTTTCTTTTCAAATAATAAAAAAGGATAAAACCATTCCAGCTCATCGACCTTACAAATAAAGGTGGTGGGCCAGATTTGGCTGCAGGCCACAGTTTGCAGACCCCTGTTCTAGGTGGAAGAACAGAGAATTTAGTGACCAGACCTATTACTCACACATCAAGATAGAGACAGACAGGAATAGAAGTGTAAGTCCCTGATTCCACAGGAGTGGTCAGGGAGCTGAGAAATCAGAGAGCTGAAGCGCCTGTCCTGAGGAAGTGTCCACTCCCTCACATGGTGGGACTTTGTATAAGGTGCACGTGCAGGATTTCCTCTGCCCAGTTAGGTACTCAGTTGCTTTCTTTATATCTTCTCAGTGGGCAGAAGTTGGTTACCAGGAATTCCATGAAGTAGGATGTGCACACTTCCTGGTTATCATGCAGAGCTGAAGGGCAGTCACCTACATTCTGGTCCTGCAGGGCCTGAGTGATGAGGACTGTGGCTTGGCTCAGGTAGGCAGGCTTGGCCCTCCTTCCTCATCATCTTCATCCTCCTGGCTCCCAGGGTTCCTGGTACAGACTCTCAGACTGCCTCCATTGTTTTTAAATATATATATTTTATTGATTTTGTACAGAGAGGAAGGGAGAGAGATAGTTAGAAACATCGATGAAAGAGAGTCATCAATCAGCTGCCTCTTGCACACCCCCTACTGGGGATATGCCCGCAACCAAGGTACACACCCTTGACCGGAATCGAACCCAGGACCCTTCAGTTCCCAAGCTGACACTCTATATCAGACTGCCTCCATTGTTGACAGGTCACCTATGTGGATAGGATTAGGGTCTTTGACCCCTTCCTTCAAGAAAAGTCAAAGAAGGCAAGCTTATCTCAGCAAGACAGGAAACTAGACAACTCCTTAGTGCTCCCACAGTTAAAGAAAATATCCAGGCTCTCCTGAGAAAGACTGGATGGCAGGATGTCTGCTGACACCTCCAACTTATCAAGGCCCCTTTTCTCTGCAGAGAGTGTGGGGTAACCAGTAAATATCAGGTGGCATATGGGGCTCCTCAGGGAGCAATGTGGGGTTCAGACTTACATAGCAGAATATGTAAGTCTCTGGATAACTTGGAGGGCCATATCACTTCCCTACCACAGAAGGACTTGAGTTGAGGGCTGTTGCTGAGTGCAGAGATAGGCAAGGTAAAATGAAGCAAGTTCTCTTCCCGCTTTCACAGCTCCTCAATCACAGAGGCTTCGAATCTGCCAAACACATGGGCCCTGGGGGAACTCCTCCACGTGGTGGTTTCAGTGGGTGTAGGCCAGGTCTCTGTGTAACTTGCAGAAGTCACTGTACTACTTCCAGACCACCACCTTTTTGACATCCTCTGGGTCCCTCTTTGAGATGGACTGTGCAGTCGGTCATTTTGCACTCAGTGTAGGCCTTAGGGTGGGTCCAAAGATCAGAAATTGTGTAGTGCCACAAGACGTTGTCCCTTGTCATGACAACCCAGCCAGGGAAGAGCTAACTGCTGGCCATTCTCACTATTTTTAAGCTGAAAGCCATAATGTTATTCAAACTGGATCAGAACCTCTTCTGAATTGATATGGGTTTCAACTTGAAAAGCGATGGCTAATTGTTCCCCTATTTTAATTCTCCCATTTTTTGCTAAGTGATAACTCTGACATTTTAGCTAGGCACTTAGCCACACTGAATAAAAACTACAATTCTTGTTATCAATTTCAGATGAGTATGGCCCTGAAACTAAATTCTTGCCTGTGGAATATGAGGGAAAGTGATGTCTTTAAGTGTCTTTAAATGGAGGGACATACTATTTTTGCCTAGTTTCCAATCCTTTCATTTGGAATAAATATATAATGGCTGGAGATAGAGCAGCCATTTTGCACCATAAGTTGAAAATTATATGTTGAGAATGATAGTGCAACAAGACCTAAGGAACCTTGTTATCAAGGAACTGCCATACAAGTCTGAACTGCCTACATTGACTTTTATATCATCTCAGGCATTGAGTTTTTCATTTCTAGATATTCTAGTTGGGAATTTTTAATGTCTTTTATGTCTTACTTAACAGGTTCAATCTTTCCTCTAGCTTCTTAAACATTTGCAAAACAGTTAAATAACGTTTGAACATCTTTGTCCACTAATTCTATTGATATAATCTGTGTTATTTCTGAGTTGGTTTTGAATGATATTTTCCTTATTATTTCTTTCCTTCTTCTTTTGAATGCCCAGTAGTTTTCAGTTGGATGTCCTATGTGAATTTTATCTTATTGGATATTTTGTATTTCTATAAATAGTCTTGGGCTTTATTCTGGAACACAGTTAAATTACTTGAAAACAGTGTGATCTTTTCAAGGCTTTTAAAAAATCTTTATTGTTGAAAGTATTACATATGTCCCCATTCCCCACCCCCCATTGACATATTCTAGTCTGCTCCTGTCTCCTGTGTCAGGTCTTCATTACCCTATTATCTGTGTCTATGGGTCATGCATAAATGCATACATGTTCTTTGGTTAATCTCTTCCCATTCACTCACCCTCCCATGCATTCCTTATGAGGTTCCACAGTGTGTTCCATGCTTCTAAGATCTATTTTGTTCATCAGTTTATTTTGTTCATTCGATTCCACATATAAGTGAGATCCTGTGATACCTACTAGTATCTTTCTCTGACTGGCTTATTTCATTTAACAGGTCCATCCATTCTGTTGCAATGGTAAGAGTTCTTTCTTTTTTATAGGTGTATAGGATTTCATTATGTAAATGTACTATAGCTTTTTTATTCACTCATCTGCTGATGGGCACTTGAGCTGTTTCCAAATCTTAGGTATTGTAAATTGCACTGCTATGAACACAGAAGTGCATATATTCTTTCTGACTGGTGTTTCTGATTTCTTAGGCTATATTCCTCAAAGTGTGATCTCTGGGTTAAATAGGAGTTCTATTTTTAATTTTCTGAGGAAACTCCATGCTGTTTTCCACAGTGGCTGCAACAATGTGCTTTCCCACCAGCAGTGTACAAGGGCTCCCTTTTCTCCACATCCTTGCCAACACCTGTTGTTTATTAATTTGTTGATGATAGCCATTCTGACAGGTATGAGGTAATACCACATTGTCCTTTTGCATTGTATCTTTCAAAATATTAGTGACTTTAAGAATTTTTCATGTGTATCTTGGCCTTCTGTATGTCCACTTTGGAGAAGTATATATTTAAGTTTTTTGCCCATTTTTAAATTATATTTTATGTCTTTCTTTTGTTAAATTGCATGAGCTCCTTATATGTTTAGAAATTAACCCCTTATAAGATGTATCATTGGAAAATATGTTCTTCCATACAGTGGGCTTTCTTTTTAGTATATGTGCTGCCGAAGCGAGCACAGTGGGCTCTCTTTTTATTTTGTTGATAGTTTCTTTTGCTGTGAAGGAGCTTTGTATTTTGATGTAGTCCAATTTATTTTCTCCTTAGTTTCCTTTGCCCTAGGAGATGTATCAGTAAACATATTGCTATGAAGGATGTCTGAGATTTTGCTGCCTATTATGATTTCACCACTTACATTTAAGTCTTTTATCCATTTTTTTACATTTAATTTATTTTATTAAAATAACAATTCAGATAACTGTGTTTTTTTTTTTTTTTGGTCAGGAGCAATAAAAAGAAAATTAAAACCCAAATCATCAAGAAAACCTGTATTCTGGCTTCCTTGCATACACATTATGACTGTTGAGACACAGGCTGGCCAATGGCCCCATCCCATAGGGGCAGCTCCTGAAATACAAAATTCAGCATGATGGAAGACTGCTCCCTGAGAGAGCGGAGTCATGGAAGGGGTAGGCTGGGCACCTCTTCTGGAAAACCATCCCAATGCATTGGAGACCTCCATGAAAAAGGAAGGGTCCCCAAACTCAAGTTCCAAAGTGCCAAAGCAGACGCTTTTAGGTGGCCATGGTCTCAACAGTCCTGGGCTGTTTGGTGCATTATGTGCAAAACTACCTATTTGGTACCACATCACTCACCATTATCTGAAGAAAGTCCTTCCTGTGATAAGCATTCCTCATAGGAGCTGATATTCAAAGTCCACGTGTCCCCCAATAATTGCTGGTCTGCCTACCTTCATTTTCTCTCCAAGTGCTTTTCCTTGCCCCAAAAGTACTTGTCTAGCCGATGTCCAGGGTCCCAGATCATATATTGCCATCAGCAGCCACTGGTAAATCTGGAGAAGGCTCAGCTCATGAGCATGGAGAATGCAGGTAGGGAGCAGGAGAAATTAGCATGGTAAATGGCTTCCTTCTCCCAGGACCAGAAAGGGTAGAAAAGAAGGCAGCATGAAGTAAGGCCCTGTGAGTAGTCTAGAAGGTCCTTAGCAGCAGCTTCTCTGAAAACAAGCTCTCTCCTCCCATAGAAAGGGAGCAGAAAGATGGTGCCTGCTGACTTCTCTTCCTCCCCTGGTGGCCTGAGTATAGGTGCAAATTCAGCTAGAAGACAGGCAGTCTAGGGGAAGTGGTCAGTGTGCAGGCATTGATGTCCTCGGTGTGGCCTGCCCGATGCAGGGATGGCTCAGAAGCACTCCTGTTGATTTTCGGTAGAGAGTGTTGGAGCAGCTCAATGGACAACAGGATCTGGGGAAAAAGAGGCCTCTCTTCCTTAACTTTCTTCACACAGTCAGCTACAAGCCACTTCATTGCTTTGGGGCAGTTCTTGCATAGTTTACTAAGGTCTGGGGAGGCATACCCTCGGCCTATCATGAAGATGATCTGATTTCGGTTGTTGATGTGAGAGTAAGGTAGCTCCCCTGTCATGAGCTCATACAGCACAATGCTGTAGGAGTAGACATCAGACTGGAAGCTGAAAAGTTTGTTATCCTGCATTCGGATCACCTCTGGGGCCATCCACAGGAGAGAGCCGGTGGGTTGTTCAACCTGCTGAGAACCACTCCAATGTGACTTCACTGTTGCCAAACCAAAATCTCCAATTTTCACCGTCAGGCCTTCATGGAGAAATATATTGTTGGATTTCATGTCTCTGTGGATGATGTTCTTTGCGTGTAAGTAGTCCATTCCCTGAGCTGTCTGCAGGGCAATGTCAATCAACTGGAACATCTGGAACTTGGTCTCTTGGACATGCAGGTGTTTGTAGAGGCTGCTGCCCTCACACCATTGGGTCACAATCGCCAGGTTGTCCTTCATCATGTACCCTATAAAGAGCAGAATGTTCACGTGCTGTGTTTTGTGCAGGACAGCCACCTCATTCCTGAAGGCTTGAAACTGCTCTGGTGTGGGATCAACAACCTTCAGGATCTTTACTGCAACATCTCCATGCCACTTGCCCTTATAAACAGTTCCAAAGGAGCCTGACCCAATCCGAGTGGAGAGCATCACTTCACTGGCTTCTATTTCCCAGTAATAACTTGAATCTCTCTGTCCATGAGGCCTAATTTTGTTTTGCTCCTGGGTCCCAGATCCCGGTGCCCGCTCTCTCTGTGCCGGCATGGGGCTTTTGGGCTGTGACCAGCCCACTGGGCTCAGATTGTTGGGGCTGCTGGATAAGGCTGAAGGTGAGGCTGATTCACCGTGACTTCGGATTGCATCCTCAATCATCCTGCTGTCCACAGGTAGGGTAGTGCTGACCATGTGGACATTAGGTGTGGATGTCGACTTCTGCCTCTGGGAGAGGGAACCTTCAGAGGAGGGGCTGGAGGTGTTGAATGTAAAGGCGTGGGGTGTGGAGTATCTGTGCTGGGAACTAACAGGCATTTGGGAAACAGACTCTCGCATCCGACGCATTGTCAAAGAAGGCAGTGCTGGGACCCCACTATCACCAATATTGGAATTTGGAAACAATAACAGTTGTCTGACATTACTCCAATCCACACATATAGTAGGTACTTTGGTGCTACAATGCTTGTGAAATTTGTAGCCACAAGTCTGACATCAAAATCTATTTAGCAAGAACTTCTGACACATGTCACAGAAGGCAAGCTTCAGGAAGGTCTTCTGAGCAAAGTTGTGGGTTGTGAGAGGAACGTGATCCAGGAAGTCTACTTGAAGTTTTTCTCCAATCAAGGAGGCAGCATCAGTATTCCAATCTAAATGTGCTTTTTTACCTTTGTGTTCATGGAGAAGTCTGAAAACTATGCAGCACTCTGGTTGCAGGCCCCTCACCTTGAGTGCTTTCATAAGGCAGTCATGCAAGCTCATTCCATTTCGTACATTGACTACTGTTCTTTGCTTGTTTGACAAGAAAACACGGATAGTATTGCTTGTCTTAGAAGAGTCCATAAGTTTGCCATCATCTGATGCTTTGTGCTGATAGCCAAACTGCTGAACTATTGTGGGGGAAATGCAGCTGGGGCCATCAAACACTGCATCTTTGAATCCAAAGCCATTGCTGATAGTCTTCCAGGCCCCCTGAATGTGCTCCATTGATGCAGCTTACACAATACTTAAACCTGAAGGAGCCAGGGCGCCTCTGAGTCCCATAGTCTGTCCTGTGGCAGTGTCTGGCCCGCTCCTCCTCCCTGCGCCTGGTGAGGGAGCTGGAGGTGGTCACATTCGGTGCGTCTCCAGCCCAGGGGATGACCCCAGGCAGCCCCCGAATCATCGCGCTCCTGCTGCACACCTCAGGGCACACTCCCCAAAGCCCGGCCAGCTGGTCATCTTTGGGGGCCCAAGGAGAGCGGCAGGGAACCCTCCTTGTCTCACGCTCCTTCTCGTCTTACTCCCTCCATTTAAGATGGCGGCCCCAGGGCCCACCAAGTCTTTTATTCATTTTGATTTTATTCTTCTGCATGGTGTAAGTTGGTGGCTTAGTTTGATTTTTTTTTTTGCATGTATGTGTCCAATTTTCCCATCAACATTTATTGAAGAGACTTGTCTTGACTCCGTTGTATGCTCTTGTCTCCTCTGTCAAATATTGAATATAATGGCTTGGGTTGATTTCTGCGTTCTCTGTTCTGTTCCACTGATCTATATGCCTGTTCTTGTGCCAGTTCCAGACTGTTTTGAGTACAGTGGTTTTGTAGTATAATTTGATATATGGTATTGTGACCCCTTCAATGTTGTTCTTCTTTCTCAAGATTGCTGTGGCTATTTGCTTGTTTGTTTTTTGTTTTGTTTTGTTTTGTTTGTTTCATATACATTTTTTGAGAGTTTGTTCTAGACCCATGAAATATGTTGTTCATATTTTAATAGGGATTGCATGACTCTATAGATTGCTTTGGGTGGTATGAATGTTTTAATGATATTGATTCTACCAATTCAAGGCTTGTTTTTAAATTCATTAGGCAAATCTAAAATAGCTTTGAATGTAGGGCTAATTTGGCACCACTATTAAAGCAAGACCTTTTGAGTACTCTGATGATATGTGAATTGAAATTTTCAATTCTGGCTAGTGGGAACCAGCTATTCCTAGTCTTATGTGATCTCTGAAGATTTTTTTCTTCCTGCTCATTTTAGGTGGTACTTTTCCTGGTCTTATATACAAGTGTTGATTAAAATTCAGCAGAAGATTCAAGGTGGATTCTGCAGATCTCCAGAGTTCTCTTTCTGTTGCAGCTCTTTACCTCAGTACTCTGTCCTACAAATTCTAGCTGCCTTGGTTTTCCCACCTTCTTGCTCCTCCTAATCCATCTGGCCTTACCTAGGTTTCTGCTCCCTGCATCACTGCCTGGGACCTCTATCCAGGCAGTAAGCTGGGATAATCCTAGGGCTGACCTTGTTTCTTTCCTGCCTCTCAGAGATCTCTGTTTTTTGTTGCCTGGTTTACAATGTCTGAAGAACATTGTTTTCATTTTCTCTGATTTTTCACTTGCTTCAGGTAAGAGGGTAAATCCAGTCCCTGATACTCAATCTTGGCTAGAACAATGGACTTTTACACCAGAGAGAAATAAATGACTGTATTATCTAACCTACTATTATTTTGCATTTTCTGTCATTTGCAACCAGCCTAACAAATACAGAGCCGATCCTTGATTTATTCAGAGCAGTTTCTGACTTTAATACAGAGAAGCTAATAGTTTTAGAATAACCAGAAACTTGATTAGCATCCAAGTAAAGTCAAATACCTGAATGAAAACTGAAATCTTTGTCATTTCCTATGAGAAGAGTAGTGCTTAAGCAGGCAAATCAATTCCAGTGGTGCCAGTTGACACAATGAAGTAAAATTTTTGCTTAGTGAGGTTATTTTTTCATTCATTTAGACAAAGCAATTGGAGAGAAGCTTATTCAATAAACTTTCCTTGGACACTTACTATAGTCTAAGCAGCTATATTTTAGGGATATAAATATGTTTAGGCTGGGACAGAAGTATATCAGCAGATCACAAGTTAGATAAGAAACCCCTTATTTAGAATAGCTCATAAATTTGGCTAAGAGGCTTAGTGCCAACTTTTTAAAAATATATAAATATCATCTTTTATTTTTTCTTTTATTTAGCGAAAATGCCTTTTCAACCAGTGGTTTCTCAATGAACCATATAAATTATGATTTCAATAATAAAGTAATTTATACTTTTAGCATAAAGTAGTTTCTCCTGGAATAGGATATTCACACAAACTGAAAGTTTTACTAGTATCAATGTAATGGATAAATAAGTTGGACACCACCCTAACCACATGATTAAAGTGAACATTACCAATAATGAAAAAAAAAATGACATCATATTCCTACTGTTGGGAGGCACTGAGAAGGACATAGCATCATAGGGGGAAAAACACACGTTTAACCTTAATGTATTAATGAGAAATAATCAGACAAATCCAATTGAGACACATTCTGCAAAACAACTAGCCTGAACTCTTAAAAAATATTAGTCATAAAGAAAAACAAAAGAAAAGATGAGATCTGGGGTTCTAGATTAAAGAAAACCAAAGAGACTGATAACTAAATGTAATGCATAATATTTTATTAGATTTTGCATTAAAAATATCCAAAGCTATAAAGACATTTTTGAAACATTTGGGAAGTTTGAATGAAGACATTATATCTATAAATTAGAGGCCTGGTGCATGAATTCATGCATGGATGGGGTCCCTCAGGGTGGCCTGCAGAGATTGGACCCCAGCTCCTGCCCCCAGCCTCGCAACCTTACAGCTTTGTCTGGCACCCCATCTTGGCTTGGTGCTGCCCCCTCACCAGCTCCACCATCCCGACTGCAGGGCAATTGATTGGTGTTGGGCTCCCCACCCAACTCCCTCAGCGCCTGGAAGCCAGGTGGCGACCTTGCTTCCTGCTACCACCACTGGTTGTCAACTGTGGATCAATTGGCTGGGTGATCACACCCCTGCTAACACCTGCCTTGCCCTGGCACTATCTGCTCACCTACTCCATCATCCCACCGTTGTCCCGCTCTCGTTGTGGCCCATCAGGGCTAGCAGTGCCTCCACTGACCCCTGCTACCAGTACCAATGTTTCACATTGCCAATGCTCACCAAGTTCCATGCCACCCCCCTAGTAGTCAGTGCAGGTCATAGTAAACAGTCAAACTCCTGGTCTCCCAGTCAAATGACTGACCGAGGGGACAATTTGCATACTAGGTTTTTATTATATAAGACTAGATGCCTGATGCACAAAATTCATACATGGGGGGTGGAGGACCCTCAGCCCAGCCTGCACCCTCTCCAATCCGGGACCCCTCAGGGGATGTCTGACTGACAGTTTATCCAGGCCTAAACCAGTAGTTGGACAGCCCTCTCACAACCCAGGACCACTGGCTCCTAACTTTGCACTTGCCTGCCTGTCTGATTACACCCAATTAACCCTCCTGCTGGCCTGGTCATGCCCATCATTCCCCCCTGCAGGTGTAGTCACCCCCAACTGCCTTCTTGGCCTGGTTGCCCCTTAGTGCACCCCCTGCAGGTGTGGTTGCCCCCAACTGCTCCCCGCCAACCTGGTCGCCCCTCACTGCCCCCCAATGTTGGTCTGGTTGCCCCCAAATGCCTCCCCCCGTGGGCCTGATAGTCCCATGCAGCATGCTGCTCAGTTGTTTGGTCACCCCTCAATAATACCCCCTGCTGTCCTTGTCGCCCCACACAGCTCAGTCATTTGGTTGGTTGCCCCTCACTAACCCCCCTGCCAGCCTAGTCACCCCACACAGCCTGTGGCTCAGTTGTTTGGTCATCCTTCACTAACCCTCCTGCCAGCCTGGTCACCCCACACAGCCTGTTTGGTTGTTTTGGATATGATGGTCACTTAGCCTTTTATATATATAGACTAGAGGCCCAGTGCATGAAATTCGTGCATGGGAGTATGTGTCCCTCAGCCCAGGCTGAAACCTGTCCAATCTGGAACCCCTTGAGGGATGTCTGACTGCCAGTGGGATCAGGCCTAAATGGGCAGTCGGACATCCCTCTCACAATCCAAGACTGCTAGCTCCCAACCACTCACCTACCTGCCTGCCTGATTGCCCCTAACTGCATCTGCTTGCTAGCCTGATCACAACCTAACCACATCCCTGCTGACACCTAACTGCTTTCTTGTTGGCCTGATTGCCCCTAACTGCCCTCTCCTGCAGACCTGGTCACCCCCAACTGCCCTCCCCTGCAGGCCTGATACCCCCAAACTTCCTTCCCCTGCTGGCCTGATTGCCCACAACTGCCCTCCCCTGCTGGCCATCTTGTGGTAGCCATCTTGTGAGCACATGGGAGTGGCCATCTTGTTTGTTGGAGTGATGGTCAACTTGCATATTACCTCTTTATTATATAGGATTGTATCAGTGTTATACTTACTGAGTGTGTTGACTATACTGTAGTTATATAGAAGAATGCCCCTTTATTCAGAAGATTCTCACTCAAGTATTTAGGGGTAAAGAGTCAAAGTATCTGAAATTAACTTTCAAGTTAATTATTTTTATTTCATAAAAATAAAGTAATAAAACTAATATGAACAGTATTAAGAATTCATATATCTAGGTGAAGGGTATTTATGGATGCTTATTGTTCTACTATAGGCCCAGTGTATGAAATTTATGCCCTGAGGTGCGAGGGTTCCCTCAGCCTGGCCTGCACCCTCTCACAATTCAGGAGCCCTCACCAGCTGTGAGCCAGCCTATGACTGAATGGTGTTTCTCCTGTGGAAGCGCACTAACTACCAGGGGGCAGCTACTGTGTTGAGAGTCTGCTCCCTGGTGGTCAGTGTGCATCATAGCGACTGGTTGTTCTGCAGTTCGGTCAACTTGCATATTAGCCTTTTATTATATAAGATTCTTTTAACTTTTCTGAAGATTTGAAAATGTTTGAAATAAAAAGCTGGTGTGAAAATGAAAAGCTTGCGACAAGTACAACAAAGTTTCTCTAATCCCTACTATAGATATTACCTTTGGCTTTACTGAGAGGTTTCATGGGAGGCCAGACCATGATTTGTAGGCAATAACCAGAAGCTTATCTGTACCTCTGGGCCTTTAAGTTTCCCCATTATCTGGAATATCCTAAACCATTACTTTGTATACCATCTCCCTCCCTTTTTCATGTATTAAAACCATGCTCCCTGAATAATGCCCATACTTTAATTCTCACTGAATTTATATAAACTTAAAAAACAACTGAATCAAAGTTAGTATTCTGATTCTAGTGGTGTGTTGGAACTGGTATAAACTG